TTTGTTCAACATTTTCTATAACTTTATCATTGTATATTTATTTTTTTCACTTTCTATATTCTAATTGTGAGAATTCTTCAAGGCTCAACTATTTGTTTCTGTACACCAAGCATGTAAAACATCTAAAATCTGACTCTAACCTTAAATTCATTCAGTTGTAATGAGTTTTCTCAAATAAAATGTTTATAGAATGATCTTTCACAAGCTGTTAAAATCTATTTAAGTTTAAAGTTCTTGTGTTACCCCAATCCTGTTACTTATGAAATTCTGAACTATTTATTATTTTAGTTTCAGTGTGAGGAGGATTGGATAATATTCATTTTGTAAATATAACTTAATGCTCCCAATGTGGTGTACAGTCTCTATTCCCAGATCATGTAGAAAGCAGTTAGTCAATCAGTCAATAAGCAATACATGCTTACAAGGTACCAGGTGATGTGCTAAGCACTGGGAATACCAAAAAAAGGCGACAAACAGTCCTGCCCTTTAGAAATATACATTCATAATGGTCAACAAAGTACATAAAAAAAATATTTAGTCAAAAGAGAATAGCAAAAATGAGTGGGACTTCTGAAAGGCACCAGTTAGGAAACATTTTCCATCGAAATTTACACAGCCAGTGGTGAAATTGAAGTTTCAGTGTTGTCATTAAGATCTGCTGAGGCCTCATAGGTGTCTTAACTCTGGCTCTAGACTGAAACTCCCTCCATGTGGAATCCATCTTCTGGGGTTCCTTTCCCTCACACTTTCTGATATGAACACAGTAAGTGTGGGCAGCAATCCCAACATCCCTGGTTCTGCAAACTGCTTCCCACAAAATCAGGCTGTCTGCTGGTAGTACATTTTTTCACAGCCACCAAAACCTCGGTGAAGAGGGATTCTCTTTAGTCAATTGCATCATCAGTCATCTTATCCGTGTCTCTGTGGCTCTATCCTTCAATAAAGTCCATATCTCCAATGTAATAGCTGAATCCAGGTACAGCTCAAAAGGACTCTGATACCTTGAGGCTTCCCCCAGTGACTGGTTGATCTCCTGATGTATCATGGGCTATGATATTAGACAAGAGTCAGCCTGGGGAGACCCCGTTACATCCTCCTGCCAGGAGGAGAAAAAAAAAACTGTTGTCTCTGCAAATCCCACCAAACAGTTACATATGAAGGCACACATTATAAAACATCCAGTAATGTGCAGATAGTCTAGTCACAGGAAATCATCCAACATACAGAGTGATGTATGATAAGATACCCCAGAATCACAAAATCTCACAGTTGGTAGGGAATACAGAGACTGTCTAGTTCAGATGATGCCTGAACAAGAATCCCCTTATAACACAAGATCAAAGGGCCACAGGTTCACAGCTTGAAAGAACCTTAGAGGTCACTTTATTTAACCTATCATTTTACATATGAGGAAACTGAGGCCAGAAAAGGTTAAGATACTTGCCCAAGGTCACGTAAGAGAAATGGAACATATGTGATCTTCCAGCTTTTACTCGAAGGCCTGAGGGCCTTTAGGGAGTAGAAACCTACCACCTCCTAAGATATTCAATTGTGCTTTTGAATCAGTTTGTTAGGAAGTCCTTCCTTACATCAAACTTAAATTTGTCATTTGCATCTTTCACTCCTTATTCTTATTTCTACCCTCTGATGACAAATAGAATGAGTCCATTCCTTTCCTCATGGGATTTTTTTTTAATATTTGGGGGCAACTATTGTATTATGGGTGTACGTGCACTCCCTTACCCTCCTCCCATAAGTCTTTGTTTCTCTAGGCTGGCTATTTTCAATACCTTCAATTGCTCCTTATGTAGCATGACATGGAGGTCCTTTGCTATCTTGATAGCCCTCCTCTGGACACTTTCCCATTTATCGTTACTCTGCCTAACATTTGGCACCTATCACTGAACATAACACTCCAGATGCAGTTTGAACAAAGAAGAGTAGAGTAAGACATCACCTCTCCAGTCCTGGACAACCTGGAATGATGAATAGCGCACTGGACATGAAGTCAAGAAGACCTAAGGTCAATTCCTCTCTTAGCTATTTATCTATATGACTTGGGGCAAGTTACTTCACATTTCTCAGCCTTATTTTCTTCATCTCTAAAATGCGGAGCTATTATTAAATAGCACCTACCTCTCATGGCTTTAGTGAGGAATAAGACAACCTATGTACAGCCTGTTGTGAGTTTTAAAGTGCCATATAAATATCACCTAGTGTTGTTTTTCTATTTTATTCCTCTCTGGGCTCTATTTCTGATTATCTGAAGTAAGGACCTTTCTCCCTACCTCCTCTGGTTTTTTAATTTTTATCTTCCTTCATTAAAAAGTAAGCTGCTTGAGGGCAGAGATTGTCTTTTTGCTTGCATTTGTTTTGTTTTTAATATGTTGTTATTTTTTTGAGGGAGGGCTTTTTGCCTCACCATAGTTTCCTCCAGTATCCTTTTCTCCCCCTTCCCAGAGTGCTATGCCATATAATAAATAGCATTTTAAAAGACAAAAAAGAAAAGAAAAAGAAGAGGGAAAAATCAGCATAATTGATCATTACCTTGAAAAAGTTTGAAAATATGTGCACTATGCAACACTTGCGGACCTCCAACCTCTGCAAAGGGATGGAGGGAGAGTATCTTCTCACACCTCTTTTGAGCCATGCATGTTCTTTATAAATTTTTGTTTATGTAGTTTTAGTTCAGTTCACATTATTGTAGTCATTATGTATATTGATTTCTTAGTTCTGTTTACTTCATTCTGTATCAGTTCATGTATTCTCCATGCTTCTTTATATTTACCACATTCGTCATTCTTTAGTACAATAATATTTCATTATTATTTCACTCAAAGAAAATATACTTACTGTTCAAGCAAAACATACTGATCTCAAAGACAGGATACATAAAGACAGCTTAGGGATCATAGATCTCCCATCAGGACATGACATGATGAAAATCCTGAGCATCATAATGCAAAAAATAATGTAAGAGAACTACCCAGAACTTCTGAACACAGAAAATGAAACACAAATTGAAATAATTAATAAATTGCTTCCAGAAAAAAAAAAACAAGACTGTAAACTCAAAGACAAGTAGTGATTGAATTTAACAATTCAATCCAGAAATAACAAATTCTGCAAGCAATCGGAAAAAAGACCTTCAAAAACAAAGGAAAAGAAATTCAAATAACACAAGGCAATTCTGAATCCAATAGAAAACACAGGAGGGAATTCAATAATGTGTTCCAAAGATTAATAGAGCTCATGAAGCAACCCAGGGTAACCTACCCTGCAATTCCAAACTTAACCACACATGAAAAAAAATAGACATTCAACAATAAAGTGGTGTTTGAAACATTCATAGAAAGAAAACCAGAATTGAGGAGAACATTTGCTTCTTGAAGATCTCAAACAAGAGAAATGCAGGAGCTGATGAATAAAGGCATCAGTCAAAGATAGCAACCACAATAAAGTAACAGCAAAGACCAGTAACAGTCTTCTTTCTAAATGTACACAAGGAGACAAGGGTAAAGGCAGAGGTCTGGTGGAGGTAATATTAAAGAGGTCAGACTATGGTGTTATGAATAGAACCTGACAACACTTTGCCTACAGGTGAATCAATGATTTGCTACTTGAGAAGACCACTCCTATCTCAGGGGAAGAGGAGTTGGAACTCCTGAGGGCAACTAGCACCTCGGGAGCAGGAGGACATGGACCCAGGGAGGAGATTTTGAGGCAAGGGGGGGAGGTAACTAGAGGGAGAGTGTAGAACAGTAGTGGGGTGCATAACCAGGGTTGGGATGGGGGCAGCAGGTCCTACCACAAGGCACTTATCTGTTTGAAACCTGTAAGTATTGGCATTGTTCTAAGAGTGAAACATAATGGAAAAGGGGGATCCACACAGCAAACAGTACAAGGCAGTGACAGAAACTGCCTAGAGGCGGTAGTTCAGAATAGGTACCTCGAAAGTTTGGGTTGCATGAGGAATATACAGTAGAAAAAGAATAGAAAATTATTGGGATCATGAATCTGAGAATAAGGGTCTAGAGTAATCAGGGAGGATGTAATGATAAGAGTCAGAGAAATTATGCCTGGATAAAGGTGAAAAAAAATGAAATTTGAAACACTAATGAGCAAAACTAGGTGAAGGAAAGAAGGGTAAATCTACTTGAATGAGAGTAAAAGGAGGGAGGGAAAACTTATATACCCATATAAAAGCAAGACAGAGAAAGGAACCAATAAGCAAAATCTCAAAGGGGAAGGGGTAACAAATATCGGGGGGAATCAGGGGTGAGAAGGGAGGCAAAAAAAAGTCCACCTTAAAAATGATTAAACTTAAGTAACTGAAAAAAAACCATAGTACTGTTTAGAGCAGAAAAGGAGAAAAATCGTAACTTAGAAAAAAAAACAAGTAAGAGATAAATGGAGGAAAATATAAACTAACTCTTAAAATTTTAAATGTAAATGGATTAACCAAACCAAGAAAATGAAAAAGAGTGATAGATTGGATAAGAAAACAAAATCTTATCCTCTATTGCTTACAAGATACCCATTTAAAAAACAAAGATAAAATAAAATTGAAGGAATTCATCAAGTGAATTGGGGGGAAAAAAGTAGGATATATAATCATGTTGCCTGACAATGCAAAAACAAACATTCAAAAATAGACATAAAAAAGGAAACTACATTATACTGAAAGGAATCATAAAGAGCAAACTAATCCAGTGACTTTTCCCCCTCTGCACCATGCTATTTCTTAAGGAAGAAAGATGAAATATCAAGTATATGGTAAACCGATATACACAGAGAAAAACAGCAATAAAAGAGACAGAAGCATAATGTGCTACTTCAATCAAATACTAGCAATAGGCAATTACTGATATTTTAAATATAAGTGTTTTACATTTTGGCTTAAGGGTTACTTGTTGGAAGATTCCACTGGGATTTTTTTTAATTGTTAATGTTTATGTCCTGATATGAATTGCTCCCACCAGAACCTGTCCTGGAAACATCTACTTCTTCAAGAGGTGACTTAACCATTTTACTGCATCTCTCAAGACCTCTTTGAACTGATCATTCCTCAGAGTAAAGATGAAGGGGTTCAGCAATGGAGTCACAACTGAGGTCATTAGGGAAATCATCTTGTTATATTCAGTTGCATCAGACTGCCTGGGCTTCACATAGAGAAACAGGCAGGTGCCATAGCCTGTCATTACCATGGTGAAGTGGGAGGCACAGGTAGAAAAGGCCCTTCTTCCGACCAGAAGCAGAAGGAATCCTCAGAATGGTACAAATGATGTAGATATAGGAAATGATGGTTGGGAGCAAAGAACCAAAAAGAATGAAAGCTGCCATCAGGAAGAGGATGAACTGCTGAAATCTGCTGTCACCACAAGTGAGTCTGAGAAGCTGGCCTCTCTCACAGAAAAAATGATTCAGGACATTTGGCCCACAGAAGTAAAGATGATATGTTGCAACAATTGGCCAGATTTGGAACAGAAACCCAAATACCCAGGACCCAATGACCACCCAGAGGCAGACTTGGTGATTCATGATGAGACTATACCTCAGGGGATTACAGATAGCTACATATTGGTCTACAGCCATTGCTGCCAACAACACAAACTCTGAAGTCCCCACAGAAAGTAAGAAGAAGAGTTGAGCCATACATGCACCAAAGGACATTGTCTGAATTTGGGTGGTCAGCAAACCTCCCAGCATAGTAGGGATAACAATAGCTGTGGTTAAAATCTCCATAGCAGAGATGTTACCAAGGAAGAAATACATGGGAGAGTGGAGACGATAGTCCATACATACCATAACAATAATGAGTGAATTTCCAATAAAAGTCACCATGTAAAGAAGGAAGAATATGGAAAAGAGCATGTGGTGGAAATCTTGTGAGCCAGAAAACCCAAGAAGTTTCAATTCCAGAATTCCTGAGTGGTTGCCAAACATTACACTATCTGTTGTACAGGTTACTGAAAAGTAAATAAAGGTTAGTTTGTTTACATTGGTAAAAAGAATAATGGATTTAGCCATTAGACCAGAGTTTGAGCCCTACCTTTATCTCTTGTCAGTGATGCACCTTTGGACTTTACCTCTCTTAAGTTTCAATTTTCTCATCTGTAAAATGAGAAAATAATACTTGCCCTTTTTCACTGAAGTCCAATTCATTATAGCATGAAAGTGTCACTGGTTTTTTGAAGTTTATGTTAGAGTTAACGTTTTGTCAAGTCCTATCAAAAAAGTAGTGATGACAGGGTATGTGTCTGTCATTCCAGAACCAACCTGGGTCACTTCAGGAAGGCTCATCATCAGAAAATTGGTTATAGTAACTCATTAAGATGGCCTACTTAGGTTTAGAGAGGCTGTGACTTTGGCAGAAGAGGGAGGACCCACATGAACCAATCATAGGCCCTGGAAGAAATACTTGCATACACAGAGCTGTGATGATAAAAACCTTTTGTAAGCCTTAAAGTGCCAAACAATCATGAGGTCTTATGATAATATTGAACAACTCCATGGAAGGAGAGCCCAACCTCTGAAAATAACAGATTATCTGAAAGTATTAGTAATTGTCATCTTATTTTTTCCCTCTGCTTCCTTGAAGATGAGCTTCTTTGAGAAAAAGGAATGTCTACTCTACACTATAAACTCCTCATCTGTTTAATACCATGCACTTCCCCATCTCCCTTTTGTTTTTCTGCATTGTCTTACTCCAGTAGATTGTAAACTCCTTGAAGCAAGGACTATCTTTGTTTTTGTTTGTATTTGTATCCTTAACACTTAACACAGTGCCTAGCACATTTTAAGTGCCTAATAAAATGCTTGTTGCCTTACCTTAACTCATGAGTTTGCCTAAAATTTTCTTAAACATTCATTTTGAACTTACTATAAATATTTATTTTGTGTTCTTCTATGATAACACAAGAGTCCCTATTTTGACTGCCACCAATCTGTAGTCCCCCTTGTACAGTGTCATATTTCAATAGACCTTCCAACCAGTCATACTTCAGAAAACTGAAATTACATCCTAAATAATTAAGATATATCAAGATACACAATAGGCAAAGGAAGGCATAAACTGGGACAGAATTTCAGAGTTAGAAAGAAATTTAGAAATAATTTAAACTGACTCCTTTATCTACCTCTACTTCACAGAGAAAGAAATTAAAGTCCAGAGAAAGGACCTAGGTAGTCCAAAATAATAATATGAGTTAATGGCAAAACCAAGCCTAGAACCCAAATCTCCTGCCAGCAGACCTAGGGCTGTTCCAATTCCTCCATCATACTGCATTTGCCCTTCTCCTGCACATCTGCAACCAAGTGGAGTAATTGCTTCTGAACTCTAGTAGTATTGCCTAAAAAGGACACTTTTTATTAGGATATCAGAGAATTTTATATTTTCAATTACCTCCAATGACCCTGGTTAAATCTATCTATAGTCACAATTGAAATATTTCAAATCTGCTACATTTATATAAATATACATGTATGTATATATGTATGTGTGGGGCAGCTGTGATTGTTGTTGTTTGTCCTTCATTCATGAAGTGGACCGTGACATCAAGAAGGTGAAGGCATGACTTGCTTTATTTTTGTTTTGTTTTGTTTTTGCTTTTTGGTGAAGCAATCGGGGTTAAGTGACTTACCCAGGGTCACACAGCTAGTAAGCATTAAGTGTCTGAGGCTGGATTTGAACTCATGTCCTCCTGACTCCAAGGCCAGAGCTCTATCCACTGCACCACCTAGCTGCCCTGAAGCCATGACTTGCAAGTGAATTGGATTTAACTGAGGGAAGGCTGTGCAAAATCACCAGCCTCACTTTCTCCTCTATAACCATCTGGGTCCAATGGCAAGATATCGATCAGGACAACTGGAGATGGCCCCTGTGGGGCAGGTAGGTGGCACAGTGAATAGAATGCTGGTCCTGGAGTCAGGAAGACCAGAGTTCAAAGCCCAGACATTTATTAGTTGTGTGACCCTTTGCAATGCACTTAACCCTATTTGCTTCAGTTTCCTCATCTGTGAAATGAGCAACACTGTGAAATGGCAAACCACTCCAGAACTTTTGCCAAGAAAATCCCAAATGGGGTCACAAAGAGTTGCACACAACTGAAATGAATGAACAACAACAACAAATATATATGTGCGTGTATTGATATGTGTATACCTGCCTGTATATGAGTACATTCATAATGAGTGATGTCAGTGAAGGCATGTGCCCACTCACCAAAGGTGTTTGCCACTCTTATGGTAGATGTCCGGAACTGAGTCCAAAAGGAAGACTTTCTCCTTCTAGATGATAAAGTCTGCTCAATGATCTTAACACTTGTCCCCCTGAAACAGTCAATAATAAAAGTAGTGTGTTTTTTTTTTTCAAGAAAGGAGGAAAACATTAAGTAGAGTAACATACACATGACTCTAATCTATGGCTCCAGGAACATTGGAATTCAGTAAGAAGGGTGCAGGAATTCAATTTTGGGGTGGTCATAACCTATCCTCCTCTTACCTTTCCTGTATTCTTACACTTTACTCTCTGACATGTACTCTTCGATCCAGTGACACTAACAACATGGCTGTTTCATGAACAAGACATTCCATCTGGGTTCTGGGCATTCTCCCTGGCTATCCTCCATAACTAGAATGTTCTTCCTCTTCTGCTGTAAGTATTGGTCTTCCTCATTTTCTTTAAGTCCCAACTAAAATCTAATCTTCTAAAGGAAGACTTTTCTAACTCCCCTTAATTCCAGTGCTTTCCTTCTTTTAATTATTACCTAATTATCATATATATGTACATATATATAGCTTGTATTACATATATTTGTTTGCATGTTGCCCCTCCCCCCACAAGGATCATGATCTCCTTGAGGTCAGGGACTGCCTCATGCCTCTTTTTCTATTCCCAGTGCATACTACAGTATTGGACACGTAGTAATTGCTTAATAAATGTTTATTGATTGATTGGCTTATGGATCCATTCATTGGTGCCACTTTGACTGACTCTCTTTGACCTTCTATTCTCTGGACCTTGGCTGACTAGATCCAGAACACATGTCCAATCCACCCTGCCACCTTTGTTTTACTCAACTTTTTACTTCCCTTACCTATAATAGCCATCAAGACATTATCTCTTTCTTTTCCTTTGGTACTTAGGGTCAGAGAAGAAAAGAATCTCAGACATGGAAATGGACTTCAAGAAATCATCTAATCTGGGCTGTCTTTGAACTGGAATTTCCTCTAAAATATTTCAAAGACATTTCTGTCCACCCTGATCTTAGAAGACTGTTCAAGATAAAAAAAATTCACTACCTCCTAAAGGAGCTCGTTCAATTTTGATGGGAATTCCAATTATTAAGAATTTTCCATACCAAAATTAGGTCTACCTCCTGCAACTTTTATGTATAATTCCTTGTTGTGTCTCCTGGGTTGAAACAAAGCAAATTTAATCCCCTATCTATATGATGACACTTCAAACACTTGGAGCCAGCAATCTTAACCCTCTAAGCCTTACCTTGAAAGGAAAAACATGCCCAAGATCCCTCAACTGATTTTTTTATTGGATGTTTTTCAGACCTCTTATCATTCTGGTTACAGTCCACTGATTACATGCCCATTTGTCAATTTTCTGCTTAAGTAAAGCTTCCAGAATTGAACACCACACTCTAGAAGTGATCTAATCAGGGTAATGGGAGTATCATTGCCATTTCCCTAGACATTAGACTTTGTTGGCACAGCTTAAGATCACTCAGTTTTGGTGGATCTTGAAGTCTGTTAAACCCCAGATTGGGGCAGCTAGGTAGCGCAGTGGATAGAGCACTGGCCCTGGAGAAAGGACTTGAGTTCAAATCCAGCCTCAGACCATACACTTGACACATACTAGCTGTGTGACCCTGGGCAAGTTGCTTAATCCTAATTGCCTCACCAAAAAAAAAAAAAAAACAAAAAACAAGAAAAAAACAACCTTATGTCTTTTTCATATTAACTACTGCCTATTCACATTTCTTTCACACTATATTTATGGAGTTGATTTTGATTTTAATTCAAATACAGGACTTTCCATTTATTTTTAATGAATTCTATTTCATTAGATGCATCATCCTAGCTTGTTGAGATATTTTTCTAATTCTGCCAAATTCTGGCATCCAGCATTTTAGCTACCTCTCTCAGCTTAATGCTAAATGCAAATTCAAAAGAATGACATATATTCCTTCATTAGACTAACTGATAAAATTGTTGAATAAATAAGGTTCTTAGGTAGATTGTCCTTCAATAGAATTTGTCTTTAGAAACCTTCTTGGGTTACTCCTTTACAGAGCTTTCTCCATGTTTTACTTCAATCCATTAATTACCTACATTTGAACTAATCATTCAAACATACCTAACTCTAGTTAGGTTTCAGTTTCTTTATGTATAAAATTAAATGTTTGGATTAGATAATATCTAAGGTTTCTTCTACCTCTAAAGCCTTTCATCTACTTCACATTCTTTTTTCATCCTAGCCATGGAGCAATTGTCACATGCTTTCTCAAATGGCTTGCAGAAGTATCTACACATGCTATATATGACATTTCCCCAATCTCTCAATCTAATAACTCTGTCAAAGAAGAAATGACCTTTGTTTTACATGACTTGTTCTTGATGAAACTATGATAGCTTTTAATGGTCACCACTTCTCTTTCTATATGAAACAAAAGCCTTTGTCAAAGGCTGGCTTTCAATATATAACATCAAAGTAGCTGCTATGGTTCACACAAAATCTCAGCCTGACCCATTATTTGCTCCAAAGTTTGAAATTTGATAGGCTCCTGGTGGATTCTGAGTACAAAGAGCTCCTTGCTGCCTTAGTCCAAGAGTGATCATCTTATGCTTTGTTTTAGGTTCTCCTGTTCTGTTCAATATGAACTTAAGACTCACAGGTCTCTACTTTCCCAGGTCTTCTCTGGAAAATCTCTTATGAACAGGAACCATTTGTAATGAAAGGCTAGATATCTTGGTCTACAGTCATTGGCAAATTAAGACTCCCTAGGATCCTTATGCACCAAGGCAGGTGCCCCACCTTTAACCCATTCCCATCTACCTGATTGAACTACTTGACAAGATCAGAAAGGTAAGGAGTCCCCCCTAATTTCTGCTTACCAGAAGTTACTCATGGGAGACAAGAAAATGAAATGTTTCTGTTTGTATTCCTCTGCCATTTTCCTCTGAGTCTCATGAATTTTTTCTGTGGGGCTAGGTCACTCTCCTGCTATTGATGAATTGAACTTTTTATGTTTACTAGTTCTTACTTCAGTGCTGATGGTGAAAAAGTCTAACCTCCAAAGGAGGGATTGAGGAAGGAACTAATAGTTGAATTTTCACACTTGAGGACTTCAAGACCATAAAAGGGAAAACTATCCACTTGGGAAGAAAGTAAATCAAACAAACCACTTTACTTCTGTTAACATTAAAGGTCCCTGGGGCATAGAGGACCTTAAAAATGTTTTAGATCATACATATTGGTCAAGAGTTCCCCAATTACAGTGAAATTTTCTTGTCTAGGTCTGTTTAGCAAATATTGCTGGATGTTTTGAGTTAGACCATCTTTAGGTCATTCTAGATATTAGTTATGTGCACTGATAAAGAAACATAATACAACAGTAAGAACAAGAGACTTACACTCAGAATACTTGATTCAAGTTCAATCTCTGTCATTACTGAGTGAGGGACTTTGTGTAAGTCATTTCATATTTCTGCCTTCATATTCCTCATATTTACCATCAACGG